CGCAGCTTGTCTTTAGGAGAAGACCTAGGAAGCCAGTCCAACTCCACGCAAGTCCCGCCAATCCAGGTGCTGTATTTTTTTCCGGATAATATGCCGCGGTCAGTTTTTTTGTCACGACATACGGACAAGTACTACGCATTTCACGGTTGATTTTACCATCCCAGTATATGCCACACCCAGTCTAAGGCCACACCAAGTTATTTCTATGTTTCACGTCACCACGCGGCACCTTTTGGAATCGTTGACAAGAAAAAGAAGAACGAGACGAGTCAATCGATGGCTATTCTGGCGAACATTCTCTAGCCAGCGTGGCAGACTGGAGGTTATCAACTTCTCGATAATCTTGCATTCAAGGCGATGGTACGTAGAAGGTGCGAGCGATGAAAAGTTATTTTTCCAAGCCTTACGGTAGGGGCTGGTCACCAAGCAAGCGGAGATTCTAGGTGTCAAGGACTTCGAGGTTTTCCACGATCGTGATGGAGCGGAATTCCACTCGACTCATGTCAAAGTGCAAAAGGAGCCATCCATGAAATCTGTTATTGTATCCCTCCAGCCCACTCTGCCAGCTTTCCTGTGGCGACTTGTCATCGTCGTTTTGGGGTATAAGTGACAGTTAAGTACCGGTAGTGATAATCTGTGTGCAACATGGCTCAGTACTAGAATGGGGTTTTAGTTTTCCACTGTTTTCGTTTTTCCGCCCACCCGCTAAGGGTGAATTCCGGGTGTACAAGTGCAGTATATACTACTCAATTGCGGCATCTATGCCCGCCCAGCCCAGCCCAGCCCAGCCCAGCCCAACCCAGCCCAGCCGGCTTCTGTATCCATTTCAGTGCTAGTCAAGCCCAGCACAGTGGACTCCTGATACAGCGAACAGCATTGTGCAGGAGAATAGAAGTTCTTCATGGCCGAAGTTCGTTATAACAGAAATGCACTCACAGTACACAACCAGTAAGTCATGACTTCATTCCATTTGGCCTAAAGCGAAGACAAGCCAAGCTTGCTTGTCGATGTCAATTCGAAAATCCTGATAATAAGGCACGCCCAATTATTTCTATGCCTCGCGTCACCGCTCGCATGCCTTTTCGAATCGTCGACAAGAAAAAAGCACCCAGAAGAGTAAACCGATGTTATTCTGGCGAACATTCTCTAGCCAGTATGGCAGATCATAGGTTATCAACTTCTCGATAATCTTGCATTCTAGGCGATGGTACGTACATGTAGAAAGCGAGTGGTGAAAAATCTATTTTTCAAGCCGTGCAGTAGGGCCCGCTCAACAAGCGAGCGAAGGTTCCAAGTGTCAAGAACTCCGAGATTTTCCAGGATCATGATGGAGCGGAATTTCACTCGGCTGTTGTCAAAGTGGTGAAGGAGCCATTCCTGAAATCTGTTACTGTATCGCTCCAGCCCAGTCTGCCAGCTCTCCTGTGGCGACTTGTTGTCGTTTTGGATAATAAGTGATAGTTTAGTAGTGGTATTCTGTGTGCAGCATGGCTTAGTACACATGGAATGGAGTTTTGTTTTTCCTCTGGGGGTTTTTCGCAATCCCACGTGCCTTTTCCAGAAAATGTCCGACTCGAAACATAGAATTAACTTGGTGTGGCCTAATACTAATAGTAATCAGACAGGGACATGCACCTTGGTTCGTTATAACGTTATCACAAAATTCGCTGTGTGCGAGTTTGTTATAAGTGGAGGCGACGACTGTATGTTCTTCACTGTCACTGAAGGTCAGGACGTGCGACAGAACATATGTGTGCGTGTGTCGTCATACGAGTCGTCCATCACCACCACCACCCCCAACCCCCGCCGACGCCGCCTACGCCACCCCCACCACCACCACCACCACCACCACCACCACCAGCAGCAGCAGCACCACCACCACCACCACCACCAGCACCACCAGCAGCAGCATCACCAGCAGCAGCAGCAGCAGCAGCACCACCACCACCACCACCACCACCAGCAGCAGCAGCAGCAGCACCACTTCCACCACCACCAGCAGCAGCACCACCACCACCACCAGCACCACCAACAGCAGCAGCAGCACCACCACCACCAGCACCACCACCAGCAGCAGCAGCAGCAGCAGATCTTGGCCACCCCGTTGTTATCATGGCAGGCAGTACAGTCAAAACTCACCAGTTAGTTTACATAACTCCGGCACGAGGTAGATTAACTTCTGTGCCTGATGTTGCGCTTCAGGATTGTTTTCAGAAATCGGTCCCTTGGTCTTGTTTTTTGCCAATAACATTACCTGAGTGGGATATTCAATATTCCTGTCATATCTATTTTTGAAATAATCAATATACGTCGTCGTGTACTCTTCAAATTTTCCCTGGACCTTGCGCCGGGCTGTGAAGGTTGAACACGCCTTGACACTCACATCGATATCGTCTATGCAGTATGTCTTGTTGTTATATCTACACGAGTGCACGCACATATAGGATAGATGGTAAGCAGGCATGCACACACATGCGCACGCACGCACACACACACACAC